TAAATGACACAAAACAATCTAATTTAAAAATAGTTATTGCTGACTTATAACTAAAAATTTTTTCGTTGACTCATAAACTAATCTGTTCAAACATATTTTGCATCATCGATAACATTTTTATATTGCATAGGTTCTGTAACGCCTTTCTTTCCCGTTTTCCACTTGACTTTGAGTGTTTTTATGTACGTGTAGAACCACTTTACTTTCTTGCAAATAACTTCTTGACGGACTTTTTTCAATTAATTACGAAGTGTAATACACACACAGTATTGCCGCAATTGGACTGGTATCAAGAATTGGATAATGTTTTCGTAAAGTGGCTTTAACTGTCTTTTGTTGATTATGCTTGAATTCAAACGCCTTTTCTTATATTTCAAATAAATACAACAACTTGTCCTGAAGACCCTTTTTAACTACAGACGTTTCTCCCTGTTTTGATCAGGTAAAACGTAGTGTTGGTACATTTAATAAGATACCAAACCAACATAGCAGATGTGGACATTATCTGCGTCAATGCATCAATTGAGCAAACTACCATTTCCGCAATGTGACTGCGGACACAATGACCAAACCGTGACCTTCGTAATTATCAAATTAAATGTAAACATCAAATCGTGACAATGGTAGGTGAACCGCGTAATGTGCGCATACGTCGGCTGTATCCAAAATTTGTTGCAAAACATACTTTATTTTAATAAAAAGCACAGAGGTGTTATTTTAAATTGATTTATTTATGTTTAAAAATGGTTGATACATAATGTTTACTTCTTTATCTTGCTTAACACTTTATAATGTATATTTCTTGTTCTAAATTTAAACATTTAGCCCAGTCTCTTAAGGTAGTAAACCCAGGTAAAGGATAATGAACAGTTCTTAAAATCTATAAGCCTTAGGACGAATGCTTCTTAGAGAGATTGTGGATGCTATGTCATCCGAACTTCAACGAATTTTTTTTTTGTTTTCATTGCATAAAACATTTATTTGACCTAGAGTGAAACATTTACTTTACTTTCCTGAATTTCCACTTGAGAATTATTTTTCAACTGGCTAATTTCTTCTTTCAATGAAAGTATTTCTATATTTGATTTGTTGCATTTTTCAGTAATTTTGTTTAGTTCTTCACGAAGACTCTTAATAGTTTTCTCTAAAATAATAATTTCATTTCGGTGGTCACATCTGAAACAATAACATACAGTTAATATTGAAATAAAAGCAATTATTCAAAGTTTAATATTTAATAAAAAAATTGTTTTGAAATGATTGTAATGTTAATTAGTACATGCTAAGTTGTGTAATTTTCTTTTCAAAGCCACATTTTTTTGTTAATAAGGTAAATTTGTACATATGTTTCTAGTTCTGATGATACCAATATATTTTGAGTGTCTGTTTCCAAACTTTGATTCTCCTTGTCCTGGTCTGCAGTTGACAATTGTCTGGAATGTCCCGAAATATTAACAAAGCTCTCAATAAATGTTTGTTGATATCTTTTTGTCTGCCTTCTTAATCTATCCTCACTTTCTGCAGACATTTGTCTTTTTTTCAATGGGAGATTTTCAGTAGGAACTGCCGTTTGTTTTAAGTTTCTGCCAGTCTTAGTGGAGTAGTTTAATAGCCTCTGCTGTAAGGGTATTTCAAAACTATCCTTCGAAAAATGTATGGAACAAATAATACAAGCTTAAAAAAGAAACAAGACATAAAATGAATCATATTCAAATTAGGTTTGCAAAAATCATACCATTTTTTAAATTAATTGTATCTTTTCACCCGCAACCGTTGACCCAGGCTTTGGCTATATCTGTTTTCGGAAATCCAAAATACTTAATATTTGTTCCCTTTGTTTTTCTTAAATAGTTCTTGCTGTCAAACACTACACAACCTGGCATTTTGTTAGTAACTACACACCCTAAAATATAGTAGATTTTAATGTACTAATAATATAATAATAATAATAATGATATATTAAAATAACAATAATGAATAGAAACTATTTTTTTATCTTTAAAATACAACAAAAATGTTACATAACCTAACTTTATATCAATTACACTACCAACTTAATTAGAAATTAATTTAATAATACGTACCAATAATTTCTAAACAGGCCTATTGATATATAGAAATGATATTAAATATTAAGATAAATATATCTATAAACTTCTAAACACTACCAGGAAAATATTAGAATAACTTTAAAAGTCGCTTTTTAACATTGGAGACATAGGCAAAACCAAAATATGCTCCGAAGATGACGTCATGCGCAAGAATGACCAAATTTCGTACCGCTTACCGCTTCACCTGTATTCTTCCACCATGGTACCTACCTACTCTGATACCTAATCGATACCAATATTGAGATACGAGAAAAAAGCAATATTTTTAATAAGCAATGATGAACGAACTGTGACGACACAAGATTTTTTTAATTTATTGAAAAAAATAGATGATAAATTGGTAAACAAAATAGATGGGTTAAAAAACGAAATAAAAACTATAAAAGAATCTATCAATGAAGAAACTGAAACATTTAAAAAAAAGTAGTAAATCTGAAGGATCAAAATAACGGACTAAAAGAAAAAACAAATGCAGTAATGTCATAATATTTGGGATCAAGGAAGAAGCAAAGAGAACCAAGCAAAAATATTAGAAGCAATAATAATAATAATAATAATTTATTTACCAAAAATAATATAAAAACAATGTATAAGTTCGTTCGAGATAAATAAACAGAAATACCCACAAAAAGAATCCTTGAGCATGGTTATTATTGGTTATTTGGGACGAGCAGTCTTAATAAAACACAATATTACAATATTATAAAAAAAGTAAAAAAATATATAAAAATAATATGAAAAACAGTTACGTAATATTAAGTTTAATTTAATATTAATATTTACATTTTATCAACTATTTTTTTTTTAGACAAATTATTAAATTAAACTAGTATACCAGACTGTAACATTCGTTATTTGTTGAAATAAAACGTTGCAGGTTCGCAGTAGGGATGGAATATATCCATTTTTTATTTTTAATTTAAATAGATTTAAGGAATAAATGTTTTTTAATTCTAACGGTATTTCGTTATATAATTTAGGACCCAGGTAAGCATAACTTTTTGCCCTATAGTTTTTTTGTGTGGTCATGACTGATAGTAAAGTGTGTTTGTCTTTACGTTGTTTTGTAATAATCATTTTTGCAAATAACTGAAAATATCTAATACTCCAGCTTCTTGATAAAGATCTATTGTTGGGTGAGTTCTAGGTCGGTGAAATATTGTTTTTAATATACTTTTTTGTATTTTCTGCAAGTTATTGATTAAAGTGGCACCTACTACACCCTATGCTATTATACCGTATGAGAAATGACTTTCAACTAATGCATAGTAAAGAATTTTTAAATACCTCACATGGAGGAAAGTGGAAAGGTTTCTAAATTTATATAATACGAATCTTAGCTTTTTTATAATATAGTTAATCTGTTCTTCCCATCGCAGATGTGAGTCGATATATATTCCCAAATACTTTTGTATTTGTAGATTTTATAATAATAGTTTCATTTTCGATTTTAATATTAATTTCTTTAAAATGCGGTAAGTAATTGCTATATGATGCAAAAGGGACAAAGAAAGTTTTTTTTAAATTAATTGTTAGTAATCTGCTCTCAAAAAAATTAGCGATAGTAGTAAAGTCATTCTGAACTGTGCTTTTTAATTCCTGCCAGTTATTTCCTTCATAGAAAATGGCTGTATCGTCTGCAAAACTTACAGTATTACCGTTGATTTCTTGAAAAAATAAATCATTCTAATAAATATTGAAAAGTGTAGGACTTAACACAGTTCCTTGGGGAAATCCGTATTTAATTACCATAAGATTACTTACATCTCCTGCAATACGCACATATTGTGTTCTATCTGTGAGGTAGCTTTGCAATAATTTTAAAGCAACTCTTCTGAGACCAATGTTTTCAAGAACAGATATTAATTTTTTGTGATCTACCGTATCAAACGCCTTGGCTAAATCAATGAATATGGCTATGGAAGGATGTTTTTTATCAAGTGAGTTATTTATTCTGCCAACCAAGTCGGCTATGGCATCGGACGTTGACATATTTTCTTGAAAACCATATTGATTTTTGAAAAGAACGTTGTATTTATTAAGAAACGATGTTATACGTTTTTGTAATATTTTCTTTAATACCTTAGCAATAGTGAAAATTAATGAAATTGTTCGATAATTAGACGGTTTCAACTTATCGCCATTTATATATTGTGGTAAAACGGCTAATTTTAGGGATTTCGGAAATGTGCCGCTTTGAACGGAACTATTGAATAAATAACACAGGATAGGTGCAATTTCTTTACTTACCTCTTTTAGATTTTCAAAACGAATTCCATCCCATCCTGGAGATTTATTATTTTTTAAGCGCATAATAGTTTCGATTATTTCAGTATTATTTGTTTCAGATATTGTTTTTTCCCTAACAGTATTGATGACTCGTTTTTTACTTTTTATTTCATCGGCCATTTTCTTTCCAACATTTGCAAAATACTCACAGAAGATATTAGCTATTTCCACTGGGTTTTGACTCACTATAATATTGGGTGTTTCAATTTCCATGATAGGCTTCTTTTGGTTTTGTGGGTTGGATATTTCTTTGACACACTCCCATAGTTTTTTATTAATATTTTAGTTTTTCTCTATTTTTTCATTATAATAATTACCCTTGGCTTATTTTATAAGAATATTTAAATTATTTCGATGCTGTTTAAATTTTGCTATAGTTTCTGGAGAAAAATTAATTTTCATTAATTTATATAATCGATTACATTTACATTACATTTAATCACTGTAAATCTTCAAGTGAGTCTTGCACCTTTTGAAATTAACAACAACTCGTGCGTCCCATTCTTCTCTCCTTTACTATAGCTTTAAAAAATCATGAAGTTATGAGAAACTGCAAAAAATTAAAAGATACAGGAGTTTCAATCTGTGACGATCTTAAAGACGAAGATAGAGAAGAAAGGAAAATTTTAGTTGAAGCCTTAAAACAGGCCCGGGCACAAAATAAGAAAGCTGTTATAAGAAGAAGCAAGATAATAATAGAAGGACAGTTTTACACCGCTCAAGAATTATCAGAAGAAAAAATTAGTGATGGAAACATATCGTCAGTATTTTCCTCACCAGTTAAAAAAAAAACAGTAAGTGAACCTGCGACACCAACACCAACAGAAGCAAAGAGTGAAAATAAAGTAGAAATAGAGGCTCATCTCTCCAATAATACACAGTACAAAATTAATAGTAGAACACAAGTCAACCTAAGAAAAAGAGGACAAACCGAAGAATACTTAAAAAGAAGGAACTTCAAGAGTTATTCAAGAGAAGAGAAAAGAAAAATTATATGATAGAATCAAGAAACAAATAATAAAAAAAAAGTGAAAGACTGGCTCAAAAATCAGTTGGCTAAAACGCGGTCGAATAAATAAAAACTAAACTAATAAAATATTGCTTAGTCCCGGTATAATCACCTAAGAACTAATTTAAATCTATGGGAGCAAGTATTTTATATTTTATATTTAGTTAAACTAATATTATTTTGATGAGTATGTGTGTGACTATTTTTATAAAAGTTTTTTTTTAAATTTGTAAGGTCATGTAAGTAGAAACAAACATTAAATTTAGTCGTTTACCTTTCATTTTAATATTTTATTAGATACTTCTCTTATAAGTTGGAAATAAATTAAACAAATCTTTAATGGATCCCTATATAAGGGACTTCCAATTAGAAAAAATAATAAACGTAAATTAAAAGCTTTCATGGACACGACACCTAGAACAGAAATACATAAATATATAGAAATAATTCCCATAAAATTTTCAAACAAACAAAGAATCACTAAAAACCTAAAAAAAAAGAAGTATAATTTTAAAATAAATATACTTACCTGACCGTAGATTTTACCTTTTAGTAATTTATAAGTATCTATTGTAAGTCGTTTAGAATAATTTAATTACCTGTTCATTTTAATTTTCCCACACACAAATAACTTTATAGTTATTTCATTGGTTTTCTCAGTGTTTATTTTATTTATTGTATTGTATTATATTTTTATGTGAATAAACACTATTTATTATTATATTATTATTAATATCATGACTGGACCATCATTACGTTATAAGCGTGTTTCTTTAAGAAGATGCGAAGAAAATAGAAACTTTTGATATACCGGAAACTATACTAATGCTTTTGCTGATTTTTTTGTACGCTCATCAGTTTTTCTATCACATTATACCTCCGTTTATATTAACACATTAATCGTATCCCACCTTTCAGTAAATGAGGTTTTATCTGCTCTTAAACAAATTAAACCGAAAATGACGACAGTACCTGATGACATTACGGCATTTGTTGTTAAGGACTGTGCTCAAATTCTAGCTTACCCACTCACTATCCTTCCAAACTTATGTCTTAAATCTAATATATTTCCTGAAGCATAGAAGCGCTCCAGTGTCTGTCCAGTTTTTAAAAAAGGAAACCAGTGAAATATCGAAACCTTTTGGCCAATATCAATTATATGTAATTTCAGCAAGGCATTTGAGGTAATTATTTACAATAAGCTCTATAAGCATGTGAATCAGCAATATCTTCTAGTCAGCACGGATTTATGAGAGGTCGTTTAACTGTTACAAACCCAGTAAATGTCATATAATTTATAGCAGATACAATAGACAGGCACACTCAAACGGATATCATATATACAGACTTTTCAAAAGCCTTCGATCGGCTCGATCACTGTGTTCTGATTAATAAACTTTTTTCTTACGGACTCTCACCTTTAGTTTCACTAATCCAGTCGTACTTAACCAATAGAAGACAATATGTGGCATTTTCGGAATTTAAATCTATAGAATACCTAGCTCCTTCTGGGGTGCCCAAGGGAGCAATTTGGGGCCTTTTTAATTTAACATATTTATCAATTCAAAAGGAAAGACTTGTATTTCGTGCAAAACTTTTTAATTAATAAATGCAAAGCGCTTTCGGCTTATTTGCCATCATCAGTGCTTATCTACAAAAATTGTGGATGTAAACTTACAATTTAAAAAAATATATTATAAAATCTGAATAAGACTTTTAAGTCAAAAGTTAAAATTGTATATATACGATTGTTTGGACAAATTAACAATTAAAAGAAACAAACAAAGTGACAAAAAACTGGTATTGGGAATAGCGAGTGTGGGATAAGCCCTTACAAATCATATCTGATCTCCAGAAGCAAGTTAGCTTGTGTGGAATTAAGGAATTATGCCACCCTCACTATTCACACAATTGAAAACAAGTTAACAAATTAGTTAAAATTTAAAGAAATTTACAAATAGATGGTGACTGTGGAAGATATATTGAAATTTGAATCTAGAATACAATAGTTAATATGTGCCAGCACGGGCTCTCTTTCAGAGAACCCAAGATGGTACAACTGAACCCGCGGTCCCTAAAGGTGAATCTGATGTTTAGTCCTAAAAATTACTAAATCACTCATGAGTGGACTCATGGTTGAAAGAAACAAAATAGAGAAGAAAAAAGTTTTAAACAAAAGAGTACCATGGTCCCAATGGTAGGCTCTGATGGGTGAAATCGAGTTTAGGAGGGGATGTCTCTAATATTTTATGGCTCTCGAAGGCTTGTATTGGGCGACGGACCTACATCATCATAGAGGGTTAATTGAGTTGTCTATGGAGTGGTATGAAACTTCTGTTAAGGTTCACTTGAGTGTTGAGACAGAGGATATTGTTGTCTCTTTCAAGAGTAATTTCAACATCATCATGAAAATCTTAGAGCCATCCCCTCCTAAACTCGATTTCACCCATCAGAGCCTACCTTTGGGACCATGGTACTCTTTTGTTTAAAACTTTTTTCTTCTCTATTTTGTTTCTTTCAACCATGAGTACGCTTGATGAGTGATTTAGTAATTTTTAGGACTAAACATCAGATTCACCTTTAGGGACCGCGGGTTCAGTTGTGCCATCTTGGGTTCTCTGAAAGAGAGCCCGTGCTGGCACATCAGAATCACGCGAGTGGCATTTTTGTTTTGTCTTGACATCAAAATAATAATATCATTTATATTAAACATTTATTTGAATTTAACTAACAATAAATCAAATCTTTAAATTCAATACTAACAAATTTTGATCTCCGTTAACCACCTCCAATCACTCGAATCACACTCGGAGAAGCATGTTCCACACTGAGGTGAACGCACCTCCTTCTCTTGACATTTGACAAGTCACCGTCTTCAAGTGTCTCTTGTCACCACTGTCATGTGGAAACGGTTAAACAACCTGAATAAAAATGAATAGATAAATTTAAATTTGAAAATATTAATAATACTAAGATTATGATTTAGCAAGTTGTAAATATCCCGAAATATCTAATTTTGGGAATGAGGATGACCAGGAACTTGTTGGATACGTTGTGGACACTAGGTAGACTTTTTTATAATTATAATTATATAAAATAAAAAAAAAACCTTCAGTTTTTTTACTTTGGCCTTCTGCGTTTAACTATCTTTATATTAACTATTGTATTCTAGATTCAAATTTCAATAATATATCTTCCACAGTCACCCTCTATTTGTAAATTTCTTTAAATTTTAACTAATTTGTTAACTTGTTTTCAATTGTGTGAATAGTGAAGGTGGCATAATTCCTTAACTCCACACAAGCTAACTTGCTTCTGGAGATCAGATATAATTTGTAAGGGCTTATCCCACACTCACTATTCCCAATACCAGTTTTTTGTCACTTTGTTTCTTGTAATTGTTAATTTGTCCAAACAATCGTATATATACAATTTTAACTTTTTACTTAAAAGTCTTATTCAGATTTTATAATATATTTTTTTAAATTGTAAGTTTACATCCACAATTTTTATAGATAAGCACTGATGATGGCAAATAAGCCGAAAGCGCTTTGCATTTATTAATTAAAAAGTTTTGCACGAAATACAAGTATTTCCTTTTGAATCTAAACTACGTGCACACAGCTGTCAACCTTTTTTGGTTATTTTATTTATCAATGATATTACAAATATAATCCGGGTCAACTATCTTCTATATGCAGACGACATGAAGTTATTCTATGAAATAATGTTGACGACTGTGTTCGGTTAACTAATACCACAAATCACCTGTAAATCCAGATAAATGCAACGTTATGTCTTATACGTTAAAATCCTGTCCCACAATTCATTAATATTCCATTAATGACGTAATTTTAACAAAACTAATAACATTAAATGATTTAGGAGTGACGTTTGATAATAGTATATTACGTAAAAAGAGTTGTAAGTAACCCATTACGCAGCTGCGAGTGTGTAAATTTCACGAGTGTGTAATGGGCTTTAAACTCGTGTAACGTTCTATACATTTTCTACACCCACTTAAAACATTCTCAAAAACGGATTTAACGTTATGCTTGTGTCGCCAATCCATAAATTTTCGATAGGTAATTTCGTACCTTTCTTTAGAGTTTAGCGGTAAAAAATTATGTGTGGCATCTTGAGTTTTTTCTAAAATCTCCGGTGGAGTGCTCATAATTTCATCATTTTCACTACTAACAGACATATTCGTAGGTAAAGTTGAGAAAATGTTCGAATACAATAATACTTTGTTACAAAAATAGACAATATAAACGAAACGACGTTTATTTCCATAGCATACTAAGAAAAAGCGACTTAGTTTTTTTTAAAATTGTATAATGTGTTGCCGACATTTAGGGGCATCACTTTTTTAATCCAAAATGTATCTCGTTAATGCTAAAAGTTTTTATGTTTTAAATTGACTATATTTATGTAAATAAACCAAATAAAGTCTTACGTAGATCAAAATTTGATTGCAATTTGACTAAACTAAGAAATTTAAGTTTTCTTATCAAAACGCACGTGTATGTTATGAGATCTCATTACGTGCAATGTTATTGTTAAATATCATTTACAAGGAATGTTGACAGTGCGATTTTCAACGTTTACTGACATGGGCGTAGAAAAAAGTATTTTTCGCACTAGTTGCGCAAATAACTATTAACACAATTTAATTGTGCTATCTATACTCATCCAGAGTTTCAATATTTTCGTATTTTCTATTGTGGCAAAATATCAAACAGAAAATGTGTATAGGTCAAAGCTCCCCTATTTACATTTAAAACCCGGTCATACATTGCAAAGAAACTTAGCGCGTAGCTATTTCGTAAATGAACCGATATGCGTTTCCTGGAGTGCTGTTGTCAGGCTGTGTAGTTTATCCCTTTCATATTTAAAAATAGTTTTTACTTATAACTCACTAAGAGCAACATGTTTTATTAATTAGAATAGTTTCGAGATATATTGCGACATATCAAGCGTCCCCACCAA